GGTGAAAAATAACAGGATCAGATTTCATGCAGTTTGTCAGAGTGATTGTCCATGGCTGCTTAAGGCTGGCAATGACAACAGGACAGGAGGATTTGTCATTAAGGCCTACTATGGTGATCATATGTGTCAGAAGAAGTGAAGGCTCAAGGACATGACAGCTAAATTCCTTTGCAACTATTTCATAGAAGAATTCAGAGATGACCAGAAGATGGCACTTGGAACATTTTCAAGGAAAATAACAAAGGAGTTTAATTGCACCCCTAATAGATGGAAGTTAGCTAGGGCTAGGACAGCTGCACTGAAGAAGATCCATGGTGATGAAGAAGAGCAATTCAGTAGACTATGGGATTATGGACATGAATTAAGACAGAAGAACCCTGGCTCAACTTTTTTGCTGACAACTGGACTGGTCAGAGATACAAAATTTCCAATGGGCAGAAAATGTTTGAAAACACTGTATTGGTCATATGATGCATGTAAGAGAGGATGGCTTAAGGGTTGCAGGCCTATTATCTTCATAGATGGTTGTCATATGAAAACTAGGTTTAAAGGTGTGCTGCTTAGTGCAGTTGGCATTGATCCTAATGACTGCATTTACCCCATTGCTATGGGCTGGGTGGAAGTAGAATGCACAAGTTCTTGGGAGTGGTTTCTCACAACTTTGAAAGATGATCTGAACATCACCAACACTGCTCCTTTCACACTTATGAGTGACAAGCAGAAAGGTCTGATAAATGCTGTCCACAAAGTTTGGCCAGATGGAGAGCACAGGTTTTGTGTGAGGCATATTTACCAAAATTTCAATGAGAAGCACAAAGGAGAGGTACTGAAGCAAGACCTGTGGGCCATTGCCAGATCACCAAACAAGTTGAAGTGGAGAGAGAACTGTGAAAAAATGGATGGTCACAGCTTAGCTGCTTTCCACTGGACTGAAAGGCTTGAGTGGAAAACTTGGTGCAAAGCATTCTTCAGTGAATTTCCAAAATGTGACATCCTCCTGAACAATAACTCTGAAGTTTTTAACAGTTATATCCTAGAGGGTAGAGAAATGCCAGTGCTAAGCATGCTTGAGTACATTTTCTACAAGATAATGCACAGGATGGTGAGTAAGCAAAGAGAAGCTATAGAAAAGTGGGCAGGGCAGAGAATATGCCCAAAGATCAAGAAGAAATTGGACAAGAACACTGAATTTGCTGCTAACTGCCATGTATCTGAAGCTGGCCAACAGATGTTTAGAGTTCAGTCAGGTAACAATAGCTACACAGTTGATCTTGGTTTGTACACATGTGATTGCAGGAGATGGCAGTTGTCAGGAGTACCATGTGGGCATTCAATAGCTTGTTGCAGGGAGGAGAGGATTGACCCAGAGACATTGGTGCATGAGTGCTACACTGTCAGGACATATCTGAAAGCATATGGATATACTCTTGTCCCTTTAGGAGACCCAAATGTGTGGGAGGTACAGAATGCTTACAAGGTGTATCCACCTGTGTTTACAAAACAGTTGGGAAGGCCCAAGAAAAACAGGAAGAAGACTCCTGAGGAGAAGATGAAGAATGGTGTTAGGATTTTGAACAAGAAAGGTGTTACAATGCACTGCTCAATTTGTGGTAGAGCTGATCACAACAGAAAGGGGCATTACAGATGGCAGGAAGCTCTCATTGAAGAAGGTGTAGAGCTAGTTGATGAAAACTATGATGACCCCACATTTCTTCAGGTTACTGAATTTACTGCATTTTACTGTAGTTCTCTGAATTTACTGAAATCACTCTAGTGCTCTGAATTTACTGTAGTTCTCTGAATTTTGCTGTACATGACTCAATTGCTCAATGTTTTTGTGCAGAACATATTCCCTAGTCAGGCTAATCCTATACTGGATCCAATGCAGTCACCAACCAGTATGGTCTACAGCATGAGTCAAAGAGAACTTTTAAGAAGAGCTCCAAATAGAGTTCATGGCCCACTACCAAGCAGTTTTCATTTGTTCTTGCTGCAGGTGCTGCAATACCTCAGCCAAGAGTCACTACAGTACTTGAGAGAGGAGAAGGCTCTCAAGCTTCTGGTAGGGGAAGGGGGAGGAAAAGACAAAGGAATTCAGATGCAGGCAGAGGAAGAGGAGCAACAGCAGCTTCAGACAGAGGAAGAGGGGCAGCAGCAGCTTCAAGCAGAGGAAGAGGGGGAAATGCAACTGCAGGTGGAGGAAGGTGGTCAAATATAGCTGCTGATGGAGGGAGAGGAGCAACTCATGTTGCAGGAAGAGGAACAGGGGGGAGAGGAGGTATGCCAGGTGATAGGGCATACTGGCTACTGTTTGGAGAGGAGAGGAGAGTGGAGATTCCAGACCTGAATGATTCTCCTGAAGAATTTCTGGCTCCTGATCCCTGAGTTTGTGGGACATTACAGTTCCATCTTTTTGTAGAGGCCTAATGTGATGTAACACAATGACTGGCCTAACAGTGGCTTAAGTTTCCACTTTTTGATGGCAAAACATTTGCTTAATTTGCCACTTTTTGATGGCAAATATTGGCATTAATTGCCTTTTTTGTAACTAAACTATGATGCAAAACTAGGGGATAAGTCAATGATGGATGGCAAATGAATGTTGGACTGAAAAAAGGCTTTTCTGAAATTTGTTGTGTCAACTGAATTTTGCTGCTTTGAACTGAATTTTACAGTGTCAACTGAATTTTGCTGCTTTGAACTGAAAAAAAAAGATTTAAAAAAAGTGTTGCAGTGAATACTGCTGTTGATAAACTGAATACTAATCTGTTTTGGAGTGAATACTACTGTAGTTAATTAAAAATAATTTTAGAAAAAAATTGTTTATCCTGGGTATCGAACCCAGGACCTTTTGTTTGATAACTTAAACTCCTTGCCAGTGCGCTAGTACTAGTGATCTTGGTAGATCCTCATTGCCACTATTGTTATACCAAGATAAACTGTATGTGCTAATCAGAGCGGTGCCGTTCGCTCTTCCACTCGTATTAAGAGGCCACCACCCACCACCCACCGCCCCCACTCACCACTTCTGTTTCACGACGCCTCGGGCTCTACGCTCCCCACCTCCCACTCCACCCCAAAAAAACCTCGCCGGCCATCTCGACGCCGCCGCCGACGCCATGGACAACCACCCTGCATGGCAGAGGATGGTCGACGAGCTGGCAGGCGACGACAAGGTCGCGCGCGCGGAGCTCCAGGAGATAGGCCGGTGGTTCCCCAGCGTCGAAATGCTTGCGAACCACGCGCGAGGCCTCATCGACGTGATGACCGACGACGAGAAGAGGCGCGCTCTCGTGGACGGCCCAGATACCCCTCCGTCCAACATCCTCCGCTTCGCAATGGCGGAGACGCGCTCCGACGATCCGAGGCAGCGCGCGCGTTGGTGGATGTACAGGTCCGCCACCACGCCGCAGACGCAGCCGGATCCGAAGCGCGTGTGGTCCAGGATGCAGCGCGTCCACGACATGGTTCCGGCCCGGCCTGCGCCGGTGCCCCTCGTCCACATCGACGACGACGACGTCTCTCTGTCGTCCGACTCGGAGTACTGCAAGGTGAACTCCGACAACGACTCGGGCTACAGAGGAGATTCGGACTCCTCTGACTCGTATGCGTCGTCTGACACAGTCGAGGTGTCGCTCGTTGTCCTGTCAGACGACGAAGAAGAGGCGGAGGAGGACGAGATCCAAATGGTCGCGCCAGTCCACAATGCCAGGGAGGGCGACAGAGACCTCCCGATTGATGTGGAGGTGCTCCCGGATGTGCCTGACATCGTCAAGAAGGAGCTGGTGGAGGAGGAGCCCAAGCAGGACGCGGCGGCGGAGCCGGCAAGGATCGGCAAGAAGAGATCTTCTCCAGTGGAGGTGCGCCGCTCCGAGCGTCTCAAGCGACTGAAGATGTGAAGAATGACTGAAGAAGGAGCGAAGAAGAAGGTCAAGTAGTTAGGTATGCTGTTTATAAGTTCAGCATATAAGTTAGTGCTATTTTGCGTTTAGTTAAGTTAGGTGTGCTGCTTACAAGTTCAGCACATAAGTTATTTGCAATCTGCTATGGGAACTGGTGCAATGTTTGCTGAAACTTATGCTATGATGATCAGATGATGTTATGCTGCAATGCTGCTATGCTTGCTATTTTGTTCTGTTAATTTTGATTACAATGCTGCTGCTGCTGTGTTTGCCATGTTGCTGCTGCTGTGTTTGCCATGCTGGTGCTGCTGTGTATGGCATGTTCCTGCTGCTGCTGTGTTTGAATTGCTGCTGTAGGTTTAACTCTTTTTAGTTAACTGAAACAAATTCATAATCTTAACTGAATTTGCAATTCACTAAATATTCAGTGAACTGGATATTCAGATAACTGAATATTAACTAAATCTTCAGTGAAACTGGATATTAACATATTTTTGCTGTAGGTTTAACTCTTTTTAGTGTCACTGAACTGAATCTTAGGTTTATCTTAGGTTATCTTAGGTTATCTTAGAGGTTATCTTCAGTAACATAAACAATGCACTGACACTGTCTTCAGATATGCAAATGTAATTAACTAAAAGTACTTAATATCAACTAAAACAAATGCACTGACACATCTTCAGTTTAACACATGTTAACTGACACATCTTCAGTTTAACACATGTTAACTGAAACAAATACAGTTAACTGTTTAACACATGTTAACTGAAACAAATACAGTTAACTGAATCTTCAGTTACACTGTCAATTCAACCAAGTTAACTGAATCTTCAGTTAACTGAAACTTCAGACAAATTCAGAGCAGTCATACATAATTGAATTTTCAGTTAACTAAACATTAAATTAAGACAAATTCAGAGCAGTCATACATAACTGAATCTTCAGTTAACTAAACATTAAATTAAGACAAATTCAGAGCAGTCATACATAACTTATAGCAGTCATACATAATCAGTGCCATGGAAATTAACCAAGTTCACTACAGGAATACAACTAATTAAAAGGTCCATCTTAAGGCAGCATTACACCAGCAATGAATTACTCAAATTCATCTAAGATCTCCTTCAACCTCCTTATCTTGCTCTTGTTCTCCTCCTTGTGCCTGAATAAATCACCAATCATGTACTCAAGTTTCTTCTTCTCCTTCTTCAGGTCATCCCTCTGTGACACAACTATGTCCAACTCTTCCTTCATGTTGTCCATCTGTTCCTTCATGCTGTCCATCTTTTGCTTCATCTCATTCCTCTCTTTCTCTGCCTTAGCCCTCACAACCTGATGAATGGTAGTGCTAGATTTATCAGACATCTTCTTCTTCTGAAGCTCTTGCTTCAGGTCAGAAACAACAAGTCTTGCATTGCCCAATTCAGTAATTGCCTGCTCCTTGTCAGCCACCATCTTAGCAAAATCTAGTTTAAAAAACCTCAGATCCTTTTCCATCTTTTCCTTCTCTTTCACAACCCTAAAATTCTCTTCAGCATTAACTACATTTTCCCTGAGCCTTAGCTTGTTCTCATCTTGATACATGCCCCAAACCCTGGCTAAACTCATCTTCAGAGTCGCAGGCCATTCAGGGTCAATCCACTCCACAAAGTTGCATTTAGGTATTTCCTACAAAATAAGAAAGAAAACATTTTTAGATAAATGGCAAAGCTTGTACCACTATTGATCTATTATTACAACACTATCTCAATTCTTAGCATATAACCAAAATTGAAGTTGACTAAATACTGTTTTCTTCCGTGAACTGATTTTCCTCAATAAACTATATTGATCCACAGTTAAATGCCACACTACAAGATTATGCACATGACAGTAAGATGGCACATTACAAATTTGCTGGCCTTAACTTGAGATCTGCTAACCTTTTGTGCACAAGCAAGATACCTCCTTCCACTGTCAACTGATTCAAAGGAAACTAACTTCTCACAGACACACTGATGTTCACATCTAGCTGCAAGATCTGGAGCAAGGCCTCTCCACTCAGAGCAGAAAATGGTGGCAGGAGCAGGAGCCTAGAAAATATTGTTGTCAGCAAAAATTCCCCATTGCTAACCCTAAATGCCAGTGAGTATGTTTGTACTAGAGCTGGAGCTAACCTCACTTGTGACAGAGTACCCGTCGGACGAAGAGCTGGATCCTTCACTCCAAGACACCATGGCGGCGAGCTAGACGGACGGCGGTGGCGAGCTGGACAGCGGCGACTAGTTGTGGAGCAGGAGATGGTCGAGAGCAGAGAAAGATGAGTGAGTGGAGTGCAGTGGGCTGAGTAGAATATCCCAGGAATATACCCAGGCAGCTAAACTAACTGCGGTGTAGTGCGGGTTGATTAGTGCTAAGTCCAGGGGGGTAAATGCAAAATGCGTTGTGCTGACCGGCTGTGCTGACTAGGCTCCACTTGTAGTGCTCTGATTGGCTGGGACCAAATTTGCACATTGGCTGCAAGTTGTGTGACTCAATAGTTGCCTTTTGCAAGATTGGGACCAAATCATCACATCCAGGATAAGTTGTGGGACTCCTGGTGCTATTACCTCTTTACTGACCTACTCCTACCTGGCTGTATAGCCTGCCTAGACCATGCCCTACGCAGCCGTTTCCATGCCTGACAAGCCGTGTAGGCGTGCTCCCTCCATCACGCCCCGAACCAGACGCCAGGTGGCAGGCAATAAAGAAGGATCGCTTTCCGCCTTCGACAGGGCCGGAGAAGCGGCGGCGATTCTGCCGAGGTCACTCTCCACCCATCACACCAGCCAACCACCCCACCTCTCGCTCCGTCCGTCGCTCGAGGAGGGATGAGCATGAACGGAGATCGATCCGCGGGATCCGCCATGGAAGAAGACGAGGAGGGGAGGCCTCGCTTCTTCAAGGTCCTCGTCGGCGACTTCGCCCGTCGCCTCGTGCGTATTATTCCTTCCTTCCTCCCCCCTTCCCTCCTTTCTTTCAGTCTCAGTTGCTGCGGTGGTTGCATGCGCGCGCCTTTCGCTCCCCTTCATCAGAAAGGGAAAAAAAACAGGACCAAGCCAAGAACGCGATTGGGCTGGGTTCCCTGCTCCACTTGGCACTTTCCCCACCTCCCGCAATAGCTGTTCCTACTCCAAGATCCTCGCATTGCGTTTGCGCTATCGGCAAACGTGCTATCCGATGGGTGGTGGAGTGCTAAATCCTATACTATCTGATCTTCTTTTGTGGATTGGATGCTCCATATGAAGTCTATGGCTGTTCTTTCAGATAAAGAAAGGAATCCCATGGTTGCATGTGCGCCTTCCCAAAAAAAACATTTTTGCATGCGCATGCGTGCGATTTGCAACATTTTTAACTCGATGTGATGCAGTGCGGGTGGTTTGAAGCTTCAAATGGCGTGCTTGTTTATGCATAAACATCGTCTTTCCTAGAAAACAGAGCAATGTGCCAATGTCTGATAGGCTGGGCCAAGAAAGAGCTGGCTCATTGTGTTTGTATCCTCTCTTGATGCTCCATTATGACCCAATAAAACCCACCATTTATCGGGAAAAAAAAGTCGGCTGGTGAATACTACATTTATTTCCCTCTGCATGCGTGGTCTGCGAATGTGAGAGTAAAGCTTCACATTGTGAGCATACACTTTTGGTTTTCAATGATTAAACAAGAGTGCATGCTGCATTTGCATCTTGACTCTGTATTTCATGGCTTAAGGTATGCCCTAACCTTGTTTGCTTCCACACGTAGGAGATACCTCGAGACTTCCTCAGTTACATTCCAGAGGTGGGCCTCAGGGGCTCCAACATTTCACCTGTTCAAGCCATGCTTAAGCGTTCAGAAGGGAAGACTTGGGTCGTTGAGCTAGAGAAGGTTGATTGCTGTGTGTTTCTAACCACCGGATGGACCAAGTTTGTGGTGGACAATACTTTGAGGGAATATGAGTTCCTACTCTTCAGACACGACAGGAAAATGGATTTCATGGTTTCGGTTTTTGGTCGGAATGCTTGTGAGAAAGCAGTCCGGTCTTCAGGAAGTGCTGCTCAAGCTACTGAAAGTCTAGAAAGGAAACTCCCATGTGATATGTTCCCCACTTGTAAGCGAGGACATAGTGGTGATGAACTAACGAAGATCACCAATAATCTCAGGCAGAGTCACTCACTGGTTATGATACCAGATCAATCTGATACAAAAGTAATCTTTTGTTCTAATCTTGAGCAAATAATTAAGTAATTTTCGTACAAGCCACATTTCTCTCTCTACATTTTGCCCACTCTTGTTCGTATGGAGTCACTTTGTTATCCAAATAGTTTAGATAAGTTTTATTTGCAAATCTGTTCACAAGTTTATTTTGGAATCATATATAGAACACATTATCATCTGTAAAACAATTTTTTTTTTGAAATTATCTTCAACTCGGGAAGCTTAGGGATCAGAAGATATATTTTTTCATGTCAAGTTAGAAGGTCCTAAAGTCATTTTGTTTTCACATGTCTCACATTGGGTGCACAGAGGAGCAGAGGCTTAAAATTGTTGATTATCACCTCAGCAGTAATTTTTGTCTCCTTAAACTGATAATTTTATATTAATTTTTAGATATTTCCCTTCCATGGGAGTACTCAGGGGAATGGACATATCTCTCCACAGAGCTTCGCTGACATACATCGTCATGAAGTAGATGGTTTGAAGGATGAGTTAAAGATATACTTATTGTTGAAGGTGCCAATGGATGATGATAAAGCTAAAGTAATAGCTGAAGTAATGAGCAGATTGCATGTTGACAGAGTTACAGTTGACTTATTCTGTGCTGCACTCTGTTTGTATAAGTGGGACTCAGATGCGGCTGCAGAGGTATTGAACACATGTAGAGGCAAACCACAAATTCCGAACCAGTTTCTAAAGCAGAAACTTGTTCTGCAATGTAAGTACTTCTATTGCCTCATTTTCTATCATTTTTGCATCTAGCATGTTGAAACACATCTTTTTTTATTGATCAGTTGATTTTATAAAGAGGGAACTACGACACTTCTTCCCCACAGGGGATGATTGTCCTCCTCAAATACGTGATAGCAGGGAGAGCAGTCTTGAGGAGCCTAACTTGTCGACTCAGGCACTACAAAATTACCTGCCAGTAGTGAAAAGCAAGCTAGTTGACGACCATGAGCCATGTGATTTGTCGTACAAACAGAAGAGGAGAATAGTCAAGTCGCGATCACAGCAAATTTCTGAAACACCACGAAGATCACCACGACTGGCACACTTGAAGAATTCCGGTGGCAGCATAGAGAGTGGATTGAAAGAAAAACCTGAAGTGTTAGAATCGCCACCATCCAGCACAATTGATCAGGTGGAGCACAGAGCAGGGCATGCGTGTTTACTCTACGAGAAACCAGATCATGTTTTCAAAGGAGATCGCCACCATGCTATAGGTATTCTTGGTCTCTTCTTAATCAGAACTCACAACTGCCTTCTAACACCTTATACTACAGTTAAACCAATTTGTGCCTTTGTAGGTTCTTTATCTCAAGACTTCAAGAGACTCAAACGAACACGAGGTGAGGTGGGCCTAAGTGAGAAACCTCAGCATAATCAAGAAAATGAGGAGAACATAGATCAAGGAAATAATGGAGAAATCTTGGAAGAGCAAGTTGATAGAAATTCTGCAGAGACTTCTGAGTCGTTCATGGAGAGCGATTGGATAGATTCGTCACCGCCGACCAAGTCCAACTCGTCATCTATGATAATAAACGAGTTATGTTTGACATGGAGGCCCTCAGTACACACCAATTCCCTCGAGAATGTGTTACTTCATATTCAACGTGACAACTTTATGAAGACCATCACACACGTTCAGGGAATCATTCGCAGTTTTCCTTCAGACCTACATTGTGCGGCTATAATTGAAGCTGTTGTGCAGAAAGAAATTCTTAAGTGGGATTCATGTCTTCAGGATGTTGATGCTCAAAGGGTAGTGATTGCATTACTGGAGCATGCTAAAAAAATCAAGGAGATTCACAATTTCAATATGGAGAGCCGGAAGGAAGAGTTTTCCACAAAGCTACAAGATCAACTGAAGTGGCAGCTCAAAGAACTGGAAAGCGTATGCACTTCCTTGGAATTTGATTACAAGAAAGTAACATGTGATGGTAACATCGCTGTCTCGACATCGCAAGAACAGAAGAAAAAATTGCATGCCCTTCAGGATGAGATCAAAGGCTTGCAGCAGTCCATGATGATGGAGGATGAAATACAGAAATTGGTGCATCAAGTTGCTGAGCATGAGAGCTTAGTACAGAAGTCTTTAATGGAAAGAGTAAGGGTTAAGACGGTTCTAAAGAGCTATAAGCAGGTTCTTGTCGAAGTAAAAGAACGGCTAGCCTCTGATGAACTTGGATTAATTGATGTCGATGCATTGGTCAAGGTAGAGATGGATAACTTGAGGAAGGAGATCGAGATATCCAAAGGAAGACTCCTAAATATCATTTTCAAGTAATAGTGGAGAGATGGCCATGTTAGTTGTAGGTATTCCTTCTTCTGGCCATGTTCCACTCTGTTGTAATCCTTTAGCATCGTGTTACAACTTAAAATCCGCAGCATGTTATCAGGAGAGGAGAACAACATTAGTGCACATACTCCTCCTTGTTTTCTTTTGTTTAGTAACACTTCCTAAATTAAGCTGATGATCGAGAATTGCTCCAAAATTTGTCAAGGAGTGCTGATATTATACTATATTAGGCTATGATATCACTTATTGCCGCAGTTACATTATACAATCAATTTATTTCTGAAGGGTTGCCAGGTTAAAGAATGCTCCCTTCTTGTTCATGAGCTGCGGGTAAGTACCACGCTCAATCACCTTGCCCTCTCCTAAGAAGGCTATTGAGTCTGCATTCTTGATTGTGTTTAGTCGATGTGCCACTACGATTGTGGTCCTCCCTGTCATGATCCGATCAAGTGCTTCCTGCACCACTTGCTCGGACTGTGCATCGAGAGCACTTGTTGCTTCATCAAGAAGTAGTATAGCTGGATCTCGGATTATTGCCCTCGCAATTGCAATTCTTTGCTTCTGCCCCCCTGATAGTTGTATGCCATGCTCTCCACAATCAGTATCGTATCCATCCTTCAGAGATCTGAAAAGGCGTAAGCTTTAAATTCCATATGTTGGATAGTGGGAGCACATAGCTTAATATATATGCAAGCGGGTAATATATCTAAGACTTACGAGATGAATTCATGCGCATTTGCGGCTTTAGCAGCTTCGACAATCCCTTCTTCATCAGCTTCTGGTTTACCAAAGGCAATGTTGTCCCTGACACTGCCAGAAAACATTGCGGGCTCCTGACTAACTAGAGCAGTGAATCCTCGATACCAAAGAACATTCATCTCCCTCACGTCCATACCATCGATCCTTACAGCACCTCTATCAACATCATAGAACCTCTGGATCAAACCTATGATTGTGGATTTACCACATCCACTTCTCCCCACCAGGCCAATGCTTGTTCCTGCTTTGACGTCCAAGCTAAAATCTTGCAGGATCAGGCATTGTGGCCTTGTTGGATATGCAAAATCCACCTTTTTGAACTCTATTCGTCCTTGTATTTTGCTCTTCGGATTGTCCTTTTCCACCTGCAGTGTAGTCATGTTAGTATTTCATCCTACAGCAATCTAGCATCCTAAAAATCTTTCTGCGAGGCTGCTGATTTTATTCCATACAATGCTCATGAGAGTATGAATGTGTTACCTGTGAATTTTGCGGAGAGATAGATTTCCTATCTAGCACCTCGAAAACTGAAGCAACGGCATTTGATCCCTTTGCCAGGTCAGATGTCATGCTGCCAGCATCAGCGATCAGCTTTCCTGTGCTCACCAAGACGAAGAAGGTTTTGAAGACATCACCTGCTGAGATCTCCCCGGACTGTGCCAATTTCCCACCATACCAGAAGTCCAATGCCCATGATAAGAATGTGAGGCACGGCGACAGCCCTGTGGTTATCCCTGCTACCCATGACTTCTTCCTTGCTTTCCTCAATGGTTCCTCTTGTGTATGCTCGAAGAGCTGAAGAATCTTCGATGAACATCCAAATGAGGTCACCATCCTGTGGTTGTAAACAGCTTCGATGGCAATCTGAGTACTTTCATACTGAGCCTTTGCCAAGTCCCTTGACACATTTGAAAGAACTATCTTCTTGGCATAGTAGCATATCATCGTGCAGGGCTGTACAGCAATCATGACAAGGGCAAGTTTCCATGCTACTATGAGTCCCATTGTCACCGCAATTACAATTCCACAAGCTGTTTGAAGTAGCAGGGAGATCCTGTCTGCGACAAGGGTTTTGACAAGAGAAGACTCGTCACTTAGCCGAGAGCACAATGAGCCACTTGAATTTGTGTCTTCATCAAACCATGCTGCCTCAAAGGTTAAGATCTTCTCAAGCACTTGGACTCGGATACGCCTAACTAGGTGCTCCCCCATGTAGGCGAAATTGTAGTGTTGCAGTAGATTAACAGCAATGGATACCAGGGACAGGGAGCAAAAGATCAATGCATAGCGGCTGATGATTGCATTCATCTCATTGTGGTCCTGAACAAAGAATGCAGCAATCATTCCTCCGATGGTTAGAGCATAGATGGGCTGCAAGGAACCATATACCAATGCAGAGATGCTTCCTATGAGTGCTTGCTTCCACTCTGGTGCATTCATTGCAAGAAGCCTTGAGAAAGACGGTGCAGGTGGGGAAACATATGACCCGGTTTCTTTTGAAACACCTGGTGTGAGTGGCATGGGACTTGCTCTGGACATGCTGAGACGGCTGGCACTGGTCCTTGCTGCTGAGGAGGCCCTAAATTGGTCAGTTTCTTGATCTATGTAGCTCACCATCTTCTGCAATTTCACAAGTCGTGAATATGGGCCACCCTTGTTGATCAGCTCATCATGTGTCCCAATTTCTGCTATGCTACCCCCATCGACTACCGCGATTTGATCGGCATTCTTCACGGTCGAAAGCTTGTGAGCTACGACCTGGTCAGCATTAAGGTATAAATAATGAGTGCTACAGTGCCAAAGGATTTGAGAAATTCTAAGCTTATAGCATTCTAAAGTAGGAAGAGCTGAAGCAGTCAATATACCAGTGTTGTTCTTCCCATAGATGCTTGATCAAGTGCATGCTGCACTAGCTTCTCTGACTCTGAGTCAAGTGCGCTTGTGGCTTCATCGAGCAAAAGTATAGCAGGGTTCTTGAGGACCGCCCTTGCAATGGCAATCCGCTGTTTCTGGCCACCTGATAGCAACGCTCCACGCTCACCAATCTGCAAGGACAGTGAAATCACCAATAAGGCAAGGGAGACAGGGAATTAAGGCCCTTGGATGTTTTGTTTCCTTATGATGAACGTACCTTAGTCTCATATCCCTCAGGAAGCCCCATTACGAAGTTGTGAGCATTTGCTGTCATGGCTGCTGCATAGAGTTCATCCATGGTTGCATCTGGTTTGCCGAATAAGATGTTCTCTTTTATGGATGTGCCGAACAGTGCATGATCTTGGCTGACAAGTCCCATCTTGCTCCTAATCGACTTGAGATTTAGTTTCTTGATGTCGAAGCCGTCGACCTTGACAGTTCCTTCACTGGAATCGTAGAAGCGCTGCACCAGCGCTATTGCGGTAGACTTGCCGCTGCCACTAGAGCCGACCAAAGCAATTGTTTGGCCAGCAGGAATCTGGAGGTTGAAGTCTTTGAGGACCGTCATATTAGGCCTGGATGGGTACGCAAAGTGGATGGACTCAAACTCGATCTCTCCACGGACTTGATCCAAAACAAGCCCCTTTGGGTCATCGTCGTTGATCTGGGGCACACGGTTGATCCGTTCGAGAATTCTCGTGGCAGCAACCGAGGCCTCAATGAAATGTTTCAGCTCCGGGAGTGCCATTCCAAGGGATCTGCAACAACATTTCAGTTTTTTGTATAGTTAAGCTTCTATTACATAATCAAAAGTCAGTAAGGGAGGAGGGACATGAAGAACATACAGGCCACCCAGAACAAAGGAGATTCCTGAGGCGTATATCCTCCCTCCGCTTTCATGATGGTACATCACCAACCGGCTGCCATACCAGGCGAGGAAGGCCCAAATGGCGAAAGAGAGACCGGTGAATCCGACAGCAAGGCCTTTGGCAATGCCCTGCTTGATCCCCAGGTTGATGGTCTTGTCGAGGATTGCTGTGTACCTCTGGATGATCCCTTTCTCTGCAGTGAAGGAGTAAACGGTCTTGATGGAGCCGAGTGCTTGCTCCACGAGGGAGTTTGCCTTGGCGTACTCGCGGCGCGACTCGCGGGAGAGGTACAGAAGGTACTTCCCGTAGATGAGGCCAGGGATGATGAGGAGCAGGACCAGAGGGTAGGAAACCAAAGCCAGCCTCCAGGAGAAATAGGTGGAGAAGGCGAGTCCAGAGACGAAGACCGTGGAGTGCATCAGAAACAGAGGAACCTGTTCAAGGTAAAAGAATCAAGAAAAACAGTCACTTCTGCTGTTATTTCTTTTCACATTCCAGATCTACTAGTTCATATTGTCCCTTTTCCAAAATTATTTTTAGCACGTCTGCGTTTCCAAAATTAACTAACCACAACAGGAAGTTTCTGTCTTAATGGCTCCAGCTAAGACATGTTTATTTTTGGACTTTTTTTAATGCAGTCGTTATTATGGAAAGTCTATCAACATTCCATGCTTTGTCGCATACGGAACTCTCATGTGCTCCCATCCCATATTCCCTCTGTTTGTCTACCTTTAAGGTGTGAATCAAGAGAGCTCAAGGTAGATTCTAACCACAGAACCAGGGATATGTTTGTAGCATCATTGTTTCATCTGGATTTTCTTCAGAACAAGATATACTAATCTCTCTATCCTGCCTGATTCTGCGGTTGGGTAGCATTAACCAGTCAAACAATTAGATTCAGCACTGATTCAGTGACGACCTAGAGTGGCAAGGTAGGTAGGTATGTATGCCACCATGACAAAGCTAGCAACTTTTCTCCTGTCCTTGGTTCATCTTAAACAAACCACTGCTAGTATACATGAATCGAGAAGGAAGAAGTTTCCAAGTTCCAAGGCGAATCTACATATGGATGGATCCAACAATATAAAAACGAGGCATGCGTGACTTGTGAAGACTGGCTAGCGCGTACACGCATGATCAAGGTCATTGAAAAGCAAATTAACCAACCAAGGAGGTTTGACTGGTGTGTACGTAGGTGTAGTACCTTCTCGCTGAGCACCTCCTGGATGAGCGAGGCGTCCTTGGAGATGCTGTTGATGATCTCCGAGGTGGTGGCCTCCTGCGAGTCGAAGAAGGCCACCTCCTGCCGCAGGATGGCCTCCAGGTACAGGTGCCTGATCCGGAGCACCTGCCTCTCGCTCGTCCGGCTCCAGCAGTACCCCTCTGTGTGCGTGCATGCGTCCATAGGGGTACAAATTAACATTACCGAAACTATATTAAGCCATGCAAATCTGTGCAGCAAAACTCGAAGTTTACCCATGGACGCCACCACCAGGATGGCGAACGCCAAGTAGACGAAGTTGAGGCACGACTGCAGGACGCAAAATGGAGGCAACAACTTAGTGTAAGCGCAACTGGCACTGGAAAATGATGAAGTGGGTACAAAACCATGTGCTATGCATTTAGGCCTGTTCCGTTTTGTTTTTGTTCCTCAAGTGAGAAATCCCAGTGAATTCTCTCCCCTGAAATTCATTCGTGTGTTCCAACTTCCAACCAACAGTAAAGAACTACGAAGTATTCCCTTCGTTTCAAAATAGATGACCCAACTTTATACTTACTAGGAGTAGTAATTAACCAACCTTCTCGATGTCATGCATGAAGTGCACGCTGGTGGCGCTGCCCTGCTGCTGGGCGTGGCCGCGGCCCAGCGAGTTCATCACGTCGCTGGCGAAGATGAGGAGGAGGTTGGTGGAGCAGCCGTCGCCGATGGCGCCCAGCGTGCCCAGGGCCATGAGCACCACGTCCACCCGGTCCGCGAACTTGAACAGGCCCCGGATGCTCCGCCGCTCGCCGCCGCCGCCGGTGCTCATCTTTACTCTTGTAGTCTGCCCGGATGGGTAGCGGTAGCACCCGAGCGCTACGCTTTCTTGTGCTTGCTGCAATGCTATGGACCTGGCAGTGGGGCTTTATATAGCACAGGACTACACGTGCGTCTCTTCTCCGATTGTTCTTAACTTTGCCTTTGGAAAAGTTGGTAGGTTGGAGCGTCCTCTCCTCGGTTGCGAAAATTAAATTAAAACGGTTCTGCTTTGTTAGACCCCTCTATTTGAATCAACGGTGGAGATTACAACGTACCCCTTCTCGGTTGAGACTGAGTGGGTCTGATGATCAATTAAAAATAAATCAGTTAGTATTATTTTTGCATTGATCTTTTTTTTTTGAAAAGGAGGATAGCCCTCGGCGTCTGCAGGATGCATGCAGCCATATATTATTAAGAATGCAAAATCCAGCAGCTGGACAACATCAACCTGGAAAATCAATTTTTCACTTATTCATGTACTTTGTCTTCTGTACGTATGTATGTTTGGACTTTTGGATTACGGTAACGGGTACAAGAGATTCGAGCAACGGCGATGTGGTGACCGTGCCTCGTCGAGCACCTCCATCTCCACCGGCTTTTCTCCCTCGCGCGCCGTAGGACTGCCGCCGCTCGCCTCTTTCCTCTCATGCACAAGCTGGCCAAATCTTGGCTGATGGATTAAAGCTGGGCCGATCGATTCCTTTCGTCTCCGGAAGTGCCTCACGTACAACACTTTCAGATCGGCGTAACCGCCAAGCGCTGAGATGTACGTATGGATGACCCGATGGTGTACGTACATCGGACAGCTAACGTCGTACGTTCTCCTAGAGCTTCTGGACTTAAAATCTCTGCAAAGAAGAATAGAACTAGAGTTAAATGGGTTGAGGAATTGTTCATGAGTGGTGAAAGGAGATGGGATGAGGAGCTGGTTAGGCATTTATTTTATCCTTATGATGCGGATGAGATTTTGAGGATGCGGATCCAATCAAATGGGGAGGCAGATTTTGTTGCTTGGCATTATGAAAAGTCAGGGTTGTTCTCAGTTAGGAGTGCGTACAAGTTAGCGCTCACCCTTAAGAATAACAAAGAGGATGAGGGACAATCCAGTGAGGCGGTAGGGACAGAGAGGAAAATTTGGAATATTATTTGGAAGGCAAACATTCCTCAGAAGATTCGTATTTTTGCATGGAGGGTTGCTTCCAATAGCTTGGCCGTACAGGTTAATAGAGTGGCGCATCATCAAGCCTCTGCTAGTACATGTTCTATTTGTGGCATGGAGGATGAAAATACCTTCCATGCGTTTGTCTTGTGCCCGAAAGCGCGTGCGCTTCGCATGGCCATGAGGAACATTTGGGCTCTACCTGATGAGGAGGTTTTCAGATATACGGGGTATGATTGGTTTATTGTTCTCCTGAGTCAATTAAACCCCGTAATGCGAGACCAAATTATATTCTTATTCTCCTCCTGGCATTTGAGAAATGATTTGATCTTTGGTAAAGGAAAGGAATCAGTTTCAGCTTCTGCTTGCTTTGTGGAGAGTTATTGGACGTCCTTTGACGCATATCATTCTCCGAGGCCGGTGGATTTTCAAAATAAAGGAAAAGGGCTGTTGGTCCGGATTAGCGGAGTTCCTAATTCTCTAGATGCGAGTAGTGGCTGGTCCCCGCCTCCTGCAGGTTGGTTCAAGATTAATGTTGATGTTAGCTTCGTGGAGTCCATTAGAGAAGCCAGTGTGGGGGTGGTGGTCAGGGACGAGGAAGGGGAAGTTATTGTTTCGTCGTGGGATTTCATTGATGCCTGTCAAAGCGTGGAGGAAGCGGAGCTTAGAGCTTGCATTGCCCGTCTCTACATATGTATTTCTCTTCATAATCCTAGAATTTTAAAGATTGACTGCGCTTTTGTGGTAGCGTCTTTTGCATCGGGGGATTATGACAGGTCTGCTATGCGTGACCTGAAGATGGAAGCGTTGAGTATCTCGAAGTTGATCAACAATCTTCAATTGTCAAAGATTAGCTGTACGGCCAATATGGTGGCTCATTTAATCGTTAAGTATAGCTTTGACAATAGATTAGATGATATTTTTGTTAATGATGTACCGCCCTGTGTGGTGAATATTGTATCGAATGAGTGTACTGGTATAGTTGGTTAATTAATATAAGTTGGTGTTCAAAAAAAAAAGGATCGATTCCTTTCCTCCCCTGCACAAAGCTGATTTGGATTAAAGAAGATGGATCGATCCCTTCCGTTTCCTGCAATGCTGCGCTGTGGAAGCTGACTTGATTTTTCTTAGGGGTTAAACCAAACTTTATTACTTAAAAATCACATGTTGTGGAATATAAAAAGGATCATGAAAAACACCAAGCCAGACATGACGCCTTTAGCCTAGAGAGCATGAAAATTTGGCTAACCTATTTGCATCTCTATTTGCTTCTTTTTTTTTAGAAAAGGAGGATGACCCCCGGCCTCTGCATCTGGGCGATGCATATGGCCACTTTATTAATTATTCTGACAAGACCTTACAAAGCTATACAACAGTAAGATTAAAACCACCGTCTAAACAACAACTGTCACTACACCTATCAAATTGATGAAGGAGCGCAGATAGTCTGGGCCTAATACCAAACAGACATCGCAACAAAACCTAAACATCTAAGACCCGAGGTCCCAATCAGGACGTCTGCCGGGTATGGGGCACCTATCAGTCCGGCGCACTCCTCAACCAGGACGCATGCCGGGTATGAGGCCGCCGCAGCCACCTGCCACCAATCCATCTTCAGAGCTATACTGTTGCATGTACCGTGCCAGGTCTCTCTGCCATCGACGCCACCACGACGCCCGACAACGTCGTCCTCCTACGCGAGTCCATGCTCCCACAGCGAACTCCGAATCTGCACCGCGCCACGCCGTCAAGATCCGTCGCCATCAGTGTGTAGGATGAATCACCGCTCCACCAAAGAATCCGTCCTCTGGACCCTCGATCATGTGTGTACCTCCAAGAATGACGCCCCAAGGGAGGAACGACACCAGAGCGCCGCCGTCACCCGATATCCGATCTAGGGTTTCCTCCGGAGGTAGCAGAGAGTGGCCTTGAACTTCTCCACGGCGATGCCTTCAAGAAGGGAATCACGCAGATAGCGCCGCCACCGCCGGCCTTAGCGGACGCCGAAGGCAAGTTTTCACCCAGATCAGTTCGAAGGGATCCAACTCTCGTGCACGGGCCGCCGTAACCACCAGCACCACCAGGAAGAACCCTGGAGCACCGACAGATCGGCGAGCCGCCGGCACCATCGCATCCAGATCGCCGGCCACGCCGGGCCGCCGCCATCCCCCGCGCCGTCCGGGTCAGAGACGGAGCCGCCGACCGCCCACAGGGACCGCCGCCGCCTGCACACGCCGAAGCGCCACCGAGAGCCCAGCGCCCACCACCGCTTGCCGAGGGTCGCCGTTGCGTGCCCCGAGCGGACTCCCACGAACACCAGGGGAAACCGCGAGCGTGAGCCCTGCCGTCGCCCCCAAGCCCATGCGGCGCGCCCCACCCCTAGCGCATCGCCAAAAACCGCCGCGATCCGCCCGCGTCAGATCCAGCGAGTCGTGGGAGAGATCCCACCGCCGCCGACGCCGACCAGGCTTTGCCCGGCGGCGGCGAGGAGGGGAGGTCGGGGGGGGGGGACGAGGACGCGGCGACGCTAGGGTTCCCCCCGGTCGCCGCGCAGGGGCGACACGGGAGGAGTCGGGAGTACCTTCAAAAGTAAACTTACAATTAAAATTTGAAGCTCTAAGTTTGATCTCTATGATGATCACTCAATATCCCCCTCTACCGCCTTTGACAATATCATACTCTATATAACATGTTTGGAGTCCGATGCGATGACGAAGTTATTTAACATAAGATCCTCTGCAAGGGAGATGCCCTCCCTGCATGCTTTCACTTCAAGTGTCGGGACATCAACTATTCCACTGATCACTAAAGCCGAGTTGCCCATGTAATTCCTTGCCTCGTCTCTGCAGACCGCCACTGCTGCTCCTCTATCTTGGCTTCTAGAAATCCCGGCATCCACATGGATCTTGGCGTAACCATGTGGTGGTGCCTTAGGTCTCGTGGCCGTGCTCCTGGGGACCCGTTGTTCCTTAGTATCTTTGTTTGGAAGTTGATCAAGTTCATGGATAAAACGAGTAATAAACTGGTGTGTAGATGATGGACTTTGGTATATTTGCTCGTGTATAGTTTTCCTTCTGGCCCACCATATTGCCCACAACGTTACTGCCATCCTGACAAAAACAACATGTGAAAGAGTGTCGATCATAGCAAATATCCACTGCTTAGCGCTCGGCTCAATGGTTTCGCACGTGTTCTGCGAGTTCTCCGTCTACCAATGCCCAGACACATCTCGACATGGAGCACTCCAACATGGAGTGACGCCACGAGTCTTCCGCGCCACACAAAGAACATGCACTTGATGAAGTCATATTTTCTTTCCATTTCCACATCTTTAGTTGGGATTGAATGTTTTGCTAACCTCCATAGGAACATACTGATTTTGCCGGGTACTTGGGTTTTCCATAAAAGTTTCCATGAAGCAGCGTCTCGATCAGTGCTTGAGGATCCCACAGTGCCATCGATCCAGGCTTCCCTTCTCAGCTTTGTATCTACCAACATCTTGTAGGCAAACAGAATGGAAAAACAACCATTTCTCTCAAACATCCAGGACCAGCTGTCCGCTACATTGGTTGTGCACAATGGAATATTCAGTATCGATCGCAAGCATACACCTTCCAGCTTAGTAATATCCCATGATGCCGACGTATAGTCTATCAGGCCAGAGACCCACTCAGGGGGGTTGGCGCAACGGCTCCCATAGGGCCTCATCATTTCCTTCCTTGGGATCCAATTGTGGTTCCATATTTTTGTAGACTCCCCATTTCCCACATATC